CACTTGATTTAACAAACACATGACTGAACTCGTTCTCATAATGGACAGCCATTCAGATTACACATCATTAGATGTTACATAATGACTGCTGGCAGCAAAATCGAAAATAGAGAGTAAAGGGAAAAATACCTCAAGGAAATCAAAGATGTAATGACTTTGTTCAATGATTCAGGGGAAATATAATTTTGTTTATAGCCCTTGTGGTTCAAGGGTCATTAACAGACATACAAATAAGAGTAGGCCTACCAAATCTTACACAAAGATTTTACAGTAGGCCTACACAACAGAAATTTGATTATTGTACATACAGTAAACTCACTTTCCACTCTCTTTAAATCATGATTGTCATTATTATTTGTACACGTTTAGTTACTGTATTTTACCAAATAAAAAAGGCAACGTCAATGTTTCCCAACCCTGTTCCTGAAGGCACACCAAACACTACACATTTTCCAGCACTTCCAACCTCATCCCAATCAGTTCGTCACCTCTTCAGATGAAGGAAATATCAAAAACATGCACCGTTGTTTTGCCTACAGGAACAGTATTATTGAGATCTATTGTCAGATCTTATGCTGGTGCAGTCCAGGGCCTTCCTGGTGCATGATTATGCCTGGCCTCATGTGGCCAGAGTCTGTAGGCAGTCTCTGGATGATGAAGGCATACAAGTGAAAACAAGTACTGTGGAGAAGCAACAGCAAGGGTGGTCTGGGGAGGACCATCGTTAGAGTTCTCACAGACCTCCACATGCTATGAAGTATCGGGATGAAATTGATGCCATTGACTGACCCTCACATTCTCCAGACTTAAATCCAGTTTAGAACCTCTGGGATCTCATTTATCCAAAGCCATCAAGTAGCACTATAGACTGTCCAGGAGCTCACTTATGCTCTGATCCAGGTCTGGGAGGAGATCCCCCAGTACACCATGTGCCATCTCATCAGGAGTATGCCCAGACATTGCTGGGAGTTCATATGGGCACGTGAGGCCATGCACATTACTGATTAACATTAATACTTTTAATGTACTTTACTTGTTACTGTAATTCCTGCCCTGAATGTGTTTATGATTTTGGCTTTCATTGACCATTGTCACATTATTTTTTTCCCCACAACAATATGCAAAATATATAAGTGAAGAGTTTTAACCTGGATATTTCATTCATTGAGATCTAATAATTAAATCTAAGATTTAGCTTAATTTTTTATATACAGCTCATCCACACGTACGTAATCCAGACGCTCATCCACACGTATGTAATCCAGATGCTCATCCACACGTACGTAATCCAGACGCTCATCCACACGTATGATATTTATTATGCATATATAAATACAAACACATGAATGTATATATTTAAGAAAAATATGTTATGTTTATATGTTAAATATATTTATATATAATATAAAATATAAGAATATAAATGTATAAATGTATATGCATGTAAATATTTCCAAAATATATACTGTATGTGAGTGTATATACATATACACATAATAAATATACACAGCACACACACATATATTATGTAAACAAAAACTTTTATTTTGGATGCGATTAATCGCGATTAATCTTTTGACAGCACTATTATATGTGCAGTTATGCATACACAAAATAAAACAGCAAAATAATAAATATATAATAAATAAATGTGAGACAAACAAACGAATAAATCAAAAATGTTTTGTTTGCTAAGATCACGTGACCAGGCGACTTCTGAAGCAGTTTCTTCAAAACATGTTTCGAAGCGTCATGATTCATGATTCGGCCACCAGTGGTTCCCGGTGCCGCCGCTGGAGGCAGTACTGCGCTGCTGAGGCTCTGGCCGAGAGCCTGAGACAAACACAGAAGAAGAAGACTGGTTCCGGCCATGTGCGCTGCAGTGCTTTGAGCAGCGTGGGGTTCGAGGACGGGCAGCAGCAAGGTATGTTTCAGGCATTTATAAGTAACATGTTGTGGACAACATTTTAGTACTAGCTTTTACAGACTGATTTTTGTTTGGATTAATCCAACTAACTTTTATATCGAGAGACTGAAGCTTTGAGCTGACCCAATGATTAAACACACTACCCATCTGACCCTGCTCTCAGGGGGACGATTATTGCTCTTATATGAGGGTCGGTATAACGCGCTGCCACGGTCCTGCTCGGAGTTTAGCTGTTGCTGAACACTTTCTTCCTCGTTCTTTCCTTTCAGACAAAGACAGGAGACGCGTGGAGGATTCTTCTGCTTGTGTGCTTCATCCTGAAGAATGTTAATTAATGTTAATAAAGGTGTGCTTGTTTGTCTGTTATGGTGTGAGGCTTACATGTTGTGCTTCTGTTCTGTGGAATCCAATCCATTTGGCTTGCGGATGCTTCATGCAATCATAGGAAAACCTGAAAATAATGATAATAAAACAAAGACATTCTGGCTGAAGGTGCGTTCATGTTGTAGGTGCATTGTTTTCAGAAAACTGCGCGTGCTAAATACGAATTTAGGCATTACAGCATCGTGTAAGTGTTATTAAATATATAATGTAAGTGCTACAGAAACACAGGTGGGACCCATGGAGAACCTGAGCGAGTGTGATCACTGATGCAGCTTGTTAGCGTTGGAGATGTCTGAAGATAACCCATACGATGCTGTTGCGCTGTGCATCTCAGATATCTGGTGCATCCATCAACTTCCCTCAAGAAAAAAGTATCTAATATAGGTTTTCCTTTCATTCAAGGGACATTCCCCATAATAAGCAATACAAAACCAACTAACTAGCTTCTTAAAGGTTCTTTTTCAGTTTAATTCTGCTGTTTATTGCTGAATATAGCCCCCGCGCGTCCTCCAGTGCAGCAGGCGGCGCTGCGCTGCTTCACAAACACCACAGCAGCCGCCGCAGAACAAGACGCGCGCGTGAAGCTGAAACAACAGCGGTTTACAATATTGGTGTTTTCTTACATTATTTTTAACAGTTGCTGTTTATTTTCAAACTCAGTAAATGCAATTGTCGTTATTGTTTAAATAGACGGCTTTATAAGAGCGACGTGCCATTGCATTATAAAAGCATTTAGTCATTATCAGTGTTGGGGGTAACGCGAGTTACGTAATCAGATTACTTTTTCAAGTTACTAGTAAAGTAACGCATTACTTTTTCATTTACAAGAGAATATCGGAGTTACTTTTTTTCCCATTTTATTGATTGGCAGCCATGCTGAGAGAAATCAGATGTTACTGTAGCTCTAAAATAAATATGAATATGCATTAATTCATCTCACTCACACAAAACAAAAACACATTCAGTATTCCTCAAAATGAATAAAAATAATGCAACTCAGAATATGACGCAAACCTGCAAAAATTAAATGTTAAACAACACAAATATCCTTTATGTATTTAATCCCATTCTATTTGCTTCTGAGCTTCGATGATCCGGTTCAAGCGTACTAACAAGCACAAATTACTCTAGACAAACATCTGTGTCTTTGTTTATTGCTGAAGTGTGTTGAAATGTCTTCTTCTGTATTCTACTGTACGGACGTAAATATACTTTCCTTCAGCCTGAGGCTTATTCATTTCACTTTTGGTGTGAAAAGGCTTTTATATTTGCCAAAAATATAACTTTTTAATTTTTAAAACAAACAAGCGAGCCCTGTCCAGATTTAAAAAGTAACATTAATGCATTACTTTCCATAAAAAGTAACTAAGTAACGTAATTAGTTACTTTTTTTATGGAGTAACGCAATATTGTAATGCATTACTTTTAAAAGTAACTTTCCCCAACACTGGTCATTTATCTTTGCAGTGTCGTGATATTTGTATTCAAAGGTGCTGCGGGTCTTCAAAGATCTGCATAAGACAAGAAGACCTGTTTCTAGAGATGATGACCGAGCTGTGACAGGTGTCAATAAACCTACACCATACGCTAACAAAAATTGTCTACATACTTGAATTACATATTTAAATTATTTACATATCAGTTCACAACATTTTTTTTATTATTATTACTGTTTGTTTTCTTTATCTTAGTGTTGATGCTTTTGTTTGGACTTTTACTTTTTAGCAAAATCATTTCTGCCCTGTGTTTGTATGGTTTTTTTAGTTTTTTTATCATTGCGTTCTGAAAAAATTGAAGTATTTATTATTATTATTATTGCTATTGTTACTATGTCTTAAAGTCTCATACACATTTAAAAAAAACAAGAATGAACATCAGAGGAGAATATTAAAGAGGCAAGTCACGTGACGGCACAGCTGAATCTCGGGAGATATTAAGATTTCTGTCTGCTCTTGGAGGCTTCTAGGCAAGAATATCTATTAAACTCATTCTTTCAGATGCTCAAAGTGGCCCGAGCGGTTGAAACCATCCTTCGTGAAAATGTGATGCAGGGAGAGCATGTGGAGCAAAACTAAATCTGTAAGTGATCTGTGTGAAATTATGTGTGTATCTCAAAAACATGATCACATGTCATCCCAAAACCAAAAGAAGAAGAGAAAATAAGCATATTTTTAGCCAATAAGAGTTTTCTATTTATTTATTAAATAGTGACACACTTTAAGCATGATTTTGTTTTGTAACCTTGTTTGTTACTGTAGTACAGTACTTCGACATGTTGATAATACACATCATTGTGTGCTTCATTTAAAGAACATATTGACGTGTTGTGTTCCCGTTAATATATATTTTCTTTAAAAGGCCTTAAATTTACCTTCATAAAACCTGTAGAAACCCTGAATCTATTTTCTCACACTGGCATAATAAGAACAAAGTATTTCTTTTTATTTGAGCTTGATATAAGACTAAACATCTTGAGTTCCCCCAGGCTAATGACTGGTTTGTGTTGTGTTTTGTAGTGTTACAGCCCCGCCAGAGTCTCCTGCTGGACAATGTGCCTTACTCTGATACACCCAGAAACAAGACCTGACCCTGATTCACTGTCACTGATCTTCATTTGCACTGTAATATCACACAGTGGCCATAACTTTAATAACTTGTACAGTATGTTGGTTCAACGCTGATGTGATTGTGTTCAATTAAATGCAATCAATTGCCACAATGTAAATAGTATTTGTTTGGCTATGTTGAATAAATTATAAAAACATGTCTATTTCAGTTAATTTCTTTTTCTTTTTTTTGGATAGGTCACTTGGTTTCACTGTTGAGTTTTGAATTCATCTGAATGGTAACAGATTTCCGTAGCTCGATCAGTTTATGGTGCTAACAACAGCAAAACCAGAATGCTTGGGCTGATATTTGATTACATTTAATTACGAACAGCCGCATTTCAAGTTTCATCGTGCCTGTTCAACTGATGCAAATGATGCATCTCAAATTATATCATTTTTGTTTTTAACCCAAATTCACGATGTTGTAATGCTATTGTGTCCAGTTCTGTAAATGCATTTAAAGAGCCTGTAGTGGTAAAAACAAGCTTCAACTTTCCAATTTTATCCCTTGGCCACTGTGGGAGGTGTTGATGCAATATTCCGACGCTTGCAAAGCACCATGAATAGATTCAGAAAGGCTTGTTTAAGTTCCAAACAATAACTGAAGTTTATTGTTCCAAAATTAACTTGATTTGCAACATCAAACAACCTAAAGGCTAATTGCATGCTTGTTGCACCATGCCATCTAAGCTCCATGCGCACAGTCGAAAGACTGTATGCTCTGGCACCAGCCCCCCCCCCCCCCCCCCCCCCCCCCGCGGGGCGCGCCTGCTTGTGTCCTTTTTTCTTT